GTGCTGGTTTAAACCAGCTCTCTAGGGGGATACATAAGTAGAGCCCAAGTCCCATAGTGTAGATATTCCCATCATGGCCAGTTTCAAGTTACCAATGATTTAATAGCCAGCTTGGAAAATTCCTGAATTTTTTTTTTTTTTTTGCGGTACGCGGGCCTCTCACTGTTGTGGCCTCTCCCGTTGAGGAGCACAGGCTCCGGACGCGCAGGCTCAGCGGCCATGGCTCACGGGCCCAGCCGCTCCGCGGCATGTGGGATCTTCCCGGACCGGGGCACGAACCCGTGTCCCCTGCATCGGCAGGCGGACTCCCAACCACTGCGCCACCGGGGAAGCCCAAATTCCTGGATCTTTATCAATCAGCACTTAAGAGCAGGTGCAAGCCAGCCCTAGCACGTGATTGATTATCCTACACGGCCTCTTCATGCTTTCAACACAGCATCGTCATGAAGACAGACTATTAAATTACTATTATTATTTAAAAATCAACTTTGAAATATGATTTACATGCAATAAAAGGTACTCGTTTTAATTGTACAATTTGAAGAATTTTAACTAATGGATATACCATCACCATAATCAAGGTACAGAACATTTCCATTAATCTTAAATGTTTTCTTGTGACACTTCCTAGTTAACCGGTTAACCCCCACTTCACCAACCATTTCAGACCAGGCAACCACTGATCTGTTTTTTTTTTTCTTTTTTTTTTTTTTTGGCCACGCGACATGCAGATCTTAGTTTCCGGACCAGGGATCAAAACCTTCCCCCCTGCATTGGAAGTGTGGAGCCTTTACCACTGGACCACCACCACTGATCTGTTTTTTATTTTTTTAATTTATTTTTTAATTTGGCTGGTCAGGTCTTAGTTGTGGCACGTGGATCTTTGTTGTGGCATGCGAGATCTTTCATTGCGACCTGCAGGCTTCTCTCTAGCTGTGGTGCACTGGCTTCAGAGCGCGTGGGTGGGCTTCTCTCTAGTTATGGCACAGGGGCTCCAGAGCTCGCAGGCTTAGTTGCCCCCCGGCATGTGGGATCTTAGCTTCCCCACCAGGGATCGAACCCCAGGCCCCTTCATTAGAAGGCGGATTCTTAACCACTGGACCACCAGGGAAGTCCCCACTGATCTGTTTTATGTCACTGTGGATTAGATTTTTTTTCCCCCAAGAGTTTCCTATAAATGGAATCCTACACTATATATTCTTTTGTGTCTAGCTTCTTTTGTTCAGCATAATGGTCTTGAAATTCATCCATGTTGTTTTTGTGTACCTCCTTATTTATGGGTAGGTTGTATTCTATCGTATGGATGTACCATAATTTATCCATTCACCAGGTGATTATTTTTCAACTGTGAATTCTGGTCATAAAAAAATCCTTTTATAAATATGTTGCTGAATGTCGCAGCCATAGCTTTTATTAAAAAGTTGTAGTGATGGAGAGGATACATTTAATTAGGAAACTAATGGTTTTTAGTTTGATATTGAGTTTATGATACTAATATTAAACAATGACATTTTAATCTTAGATCCAGTACCAAGATTTAAGAAACATTTACTACCCCATTAAAAAGCCATTTACTTAGGTATATGAATACATTTTTTTCATTTGATGTTTGAGTATATTTTTAAAAGGCTAGGTAGTTCAGACTGGCTGTCTGGTTCTCTACACTGTAAATAACTACTAGCTTTCTTTTTTACTTTATGCCTTATAGAACTTGCCTCTTTACTGGTGGTCTTTCTGGAAACTAATACCACTTATTTAAATAAGAAAGTGTTAATTTATTAAGTTGATACTTTTAAACAGGTTTGCTTTTTTCTTCTCTTTTCTTTCTCTCTTTCTTAAAACAAACAAACAAACAAACAAATCCCAAACCCATTTTGTAGTACCCAGCATATCTCAAGTGGCTTAAAAAGCAGGGTTAATTTTTTTTAAGGTTCATATCCTGAGATTCCAGTAGGTGGCACTCTTACAAAGCCTGAAGATTTGACTGCTTTGGCAATGCGTGATCGTTTTCTAGATGGTTCCCTTTTTACTGTGACCTACTTGCAAACCCATTTGTTCTGGATAACTAAAATTCATTTTCCCTCTAATTGTCAGAGTTGCATATACTGTTTGTTAAGCATTTAAAAAATGTACAAAAGAAAAAATATTCTTCAAACACCTTGATTAATTTCCAAGAGATAACCACTCTAACAATTTAGTATATACAATATTTTCCAGAACTTTCTCTAGCCTGCCCGCACAGTAAATGCAGATAAATGTTAAAATTTAAATTAATAAAATTTTAGATTTTAAAATAATCATAATGATATGCTTGTCTTTGTTTTCTGATCCTGTACCTGGGTTTTTTCTTATGAGTTATTTTCCTTTAAGACAGACCTCTCATTTCTGCAATTCATTAATTGCTGAGTCTGAAAGGACCTTTTACATCTGTGTTGAATTAGGGCTTGTGGTGTAGTGAATGAGGCCTAGACTTCCATGATAAGGATTCTATGCTAACTGCATTTCTTGGCAGTGGGAGTAGGGTAAAGAGAACTTAAATAATAAGAAATCTAATGCTTCCTTTGCCAACTGAAGACTGTAGAATATTCTAAGATTTTATCAGAATAGGATTGTGAGTTTTAACTTGCTGGCTATTCCAGGAGATGCTAGCTATTGGTTCTTCAGTGGGAAATTTTGTGAAATCACTGATTTTTTAAAAATACATTTTTCTCCCACAGTATAACTTAAGGGCAGCCAATTTCCCCCAGAATGAGCAATCCAAGAGACCAAGCCAGACAGAAATGCTTTTGTGACCTAACCTTGGAATTCACACACTGTCACTCCTTCAGTAGGTCTGCTTTACTCCTTGTGGAAGGGAACCGTGCTCAGGGACATGAGTACCAGGAGGTGAGGCTCATTGGACCATCTTGGAGGTTACCACAAGGAGTGGTTACTTTATCTATTTATTTCGTTGAGGTATAATTGACATATACCATTATATTAATAGTGTTGGGTATACAACGTAATGATTTAATATTTGTATACGTTGGGAAATGGTCACCACAATGAGTCTAGGTAACAGCCATCCATAGATGGTTACTTTAAAGCCATGGGATTAGATGAGGCCGCCTAGGGAGCGAGTGTAGAGAGAGAAGACAATAGGATTAAGTCAACATTTAGAAGTCACAAAGAAGAGTCTGAGAAAAAGCTTCCAGTGAGGTGATGCCTTTGGGAGCCCAGTAGAGAAAATATTCCCAAAAGAAGGGAAGGCTGAGAAACTAGGATAATAGCTAAGAAATGACCACCGACTTTACACATGTGCAAAATCCCTTTCTCCTTGGAGTTTCACACAATTCAGATGTAAGGGAAACAGAGGCAGTTTAAAGCGTAACTATTTGCAGCCACTTTTGAGTACCAGGAAGTGGCATCATTTATTACTTGGGGGCTGTGGAGCTTGTGCGGGAAAAGACCTTGATAATCTCTTTAGGTCTGAAAGGTAAGGTTCTCCTAGCATCAGTTCTGGAAGGTGAGGTCTAGACAGAGAGCTGAATTGCCGTGCATAATAAAGTAAGATGAATGGAGCATCTGAGATCACTAGCAAATTTAAAAAGAAGTGTGACTTCAGAAAGCTGCATACGGAAGCAAGTCAGCTGAAAATGACATAATAATCTTCTGTGGGCTTTTGCACCCAGTGCTGGAATGCCTCCAGGTTTGCCTGACTCTCTCCTCTCCGTTCTGCTCCTTTGACGCTCCTTGCTCATCAGTTCCCCTGGTTTCTCCAAAACATTTTGGTTACACACAGTAAATAATAATAGGACACAAATATTGAGTACTTCTAAGTGCCAGGGACCGTTCCTACTGTTTTATGTATGTTACCTCACTTAAGCTTCACAAACTCACCCCACTTTAAAGATCAGGAAACAGAAGCAGGCAAGAGGTTGAGTTACTTGCTATTAAGTATTAGGGTCAGAATTTGAACCCAGTCTGGCTTCAGAGATCAGGCTCTTAATTGTTAAATCTTGCTTTCGTTTTCCTTTCAGGGTTTTGAATTTGGCAACCCAGACTGAACCACAGTCTACTCAGGCTTAGACTTTGGCCACCTTCTGCCCCAACCCAGAACATGACATCTGTTATCGACTTGTGGGTCTACCCCACCCCAAAAGAAACCCCACCCTGGGCCTTGCTGGTGCCCAATAGGAGGAAGGCCATCAAAGCAGTGTTTGTTTACGCCCCTGTGTCCTTTCTTATGTGCTTCCTCTGTTCCCTTTCTCCCTTCTCTGGTTTCTGTATGAAGCATTTGGTTGCCTCCTCACAAATTTTTCTTCCTCCAAGCGTCCTTTGAACTTCCATCCGCCCTATCTCACTGTATCCCTGTTCCCAGTAGATGTCTATCTCTGCCCTCAATTGGGAACTCCTCCAGGCAAGGACCATATCTTCATTCACCTTCGAGGCTTGAGTTGGGCACACTATGGGAGTTCATTAGTGTTTCTTGATTGAATGAAAGAAAGTGCTAGAAAAAGAACAGGACAAATGTTATCCCGTGTAGTGCACAGTACAATTTTTTTTTGTAACCTTGATGGGCTGATGTAAAAAGGAAAGAACTTCTAAAAGAATCTTCTTAACTTAATCTCCCACTTCAACATCTTTATCTCAGTGTTTATCTAATGCTAATAATTAGTATTTCACAAACCTCTCTCTACGCCCTTGACACTATTGTTGGAGTCAAGGAGGTACACACTTCACGTTATTACCATTCATCTTTTATTAAGATTAACTTTTTAAAAACATGCTACTTGATCAAAGTCCGGTGATTAAAAATATGTTCCAGGTCACTAGAAGAAAGTTTATTAAAAGACTACTCTAGGTCCAGGAAGAGGTAAGGCAATTTTGATTTGTTATAAAGACCAACATTTCCACAATTATTTGTAATTAAATTTTGTTTCAGAAGGCCAAAAAAGGCTCAAAGTGAATAGGGAATCCAAAGAAAATCAAACAAACAGAAATCAAGATTGAACGAATGTATCATCTTGCTCTAAAAGGAATAATTTCTACTTGTAAATTTCTTGTTCCTAAGGAAACAATCATGGGGCAGATCTTGTGAAATTTTATATTATTTCTTCAATTTCCTGAACTTGGGAGGAGACCACCTCACCATTCACCACTTCCTGCACAATTGTCTTGATTTTTCGGGCTCTGGTAGGATCTAAAGATAAAAATGGAACAAAGAGGGCAAAAGTTAGTGTTTCAAATACTCATCTGAAATTAGTTGTTTAACTTAAGCTTCTAAATTAGGTATTGACTGATACAGTCCATCAAATTTAAACTTTCAAAAGTGACTTTTGCATTCTAAACGAAATGCATTTTATTTAATAAAATGTATTCAGTGTTGTGCACAAATATTTTTCTTCTTAAAATTTAAAAAGTGTTTATGATTCTCATAATACTTTGGAGATTTTTTTTTCCTTCCTGAGCTTGCCAAAAGTTTTACCACAGAACAGACTACTCATTTTTCTGCAGGAATGCATAAATATTTTTTCTTTGCTCTGAATACAAATATACTTTAAGTTTAAATTAGTTAATAACACTGCAATATTCAATGAGATCTTACAGTTTTAGTCATTAACAGATGTGATTCTGACTTATTCCAAGTGCTTCTTAGGGAATCTGCATACCTTTGGAGGAATCAGTTGACGGTGCTTGAGAGTTGGAGGCTGTCACAGAGGAACTTTCATCCAAACAGTCACTGTAAAGAAAACAAGGGAGTTGATATCACATGATGCTTTCTGGAATGAGAGGGAATAAGGAATTTGCTATTTGAGCTTAAAAAATGACCAACTGGAGAAAGTATTATACATTTCTTGATTAAGAATGATTGAACGATGCACCCTGAGAGTAATCAGCTGGTGCAGTGCACCTTTGCTTTCCAACCCTGCCTAAAATGGGCTCTTAAAGTGAAGCAAACTGGCCACTAATGGAAGATCTGGTTTCCTGATTTACAGTCCTGAATTCTTCCCACTAGTCCAGGCTGTTATTACTTTTGGAAAGTTCGCTACAGTAGGTCTGAGGTGATTGCGTGGCTGTGATTTGATGTCATTCTCAGCATCGGGGCATTAACATCAGAACTCAGACGGTTGATTTTTCTAATACTCATCTGCAGTATGCCTCTGTCTGCGATGCCATTGTCCATCCCAGCATTTTATTAACTTTTATCAGGGAAGATAACGGGTGACAACACTTTGCACAATGTAGAGCATTTAACAAATCTAAGGCATGTCTTTACTAGATGTGTTATTTTCTGTCAACTAAAGAACCCTTCCCACTTCTATTGCCCCCAAACTGCATCAGTGTCCACGGGCCGTCAGCCATTGAGGTTATTTTCAGCCTCAGTTATCTATTCACCTTTGGGCTTCTCCGTCCAGCAGGCGGCGGTAGGTCTCGATCTCCAGCTCCAGATGGGCCTTGATGTTCAGCAACAGCTGGTAGTCGGCGCTCTGGCGCTCGGCGTCACCGCGCACTTGCAGCAGCTGCTCCTCCACGTTGCCGATGAGCTGCCGCACCTGGGACAGCTGGCTGTAGTAGTCGCCCTCGGTTTCGGCCAGCGAGTCGTCCAGGGATTTCTTCTGCACGGGGGAGGGAAATGGCACAGACGTAACAATGGAGGGGACCGAAATGCGGAAGGCAGCCAATGGCCTTACTAATTTGGATGCAACATTTCCTTTGCAAGGCGAAAGGAAGCCGCGTCTTTTGGCGCGCGCCGTACCGTGGCGAGCTGGGACTGGAGCTCGATCTCCAGGGTTTGAAGCACGCGCCGCAGGTCGGTGACCACGCTCTTGCTGGACTGAAGCTCCTCGGTGTTGCTGCTGATCTCCTTCCTGAGCTCGGCGCTCTGCCACAGCAAAGAGGGGGGAGGGGACGTGAGCCAGCCCTGCGCCTCTCCCCGGTCTTTAATGCAAATGTATCAACGCCTTTTGTCTTTGTTAGTGGTACCTTTTCAATGAACCAGGCTTCCGCATCCTCCCGATTCTGCTGGGCTACGGCTTCATACTGCCCCCGCATGTCGTTAAGGAGGCTCGTGAGGTCCACTCCGGGGGCAGCGTCCATTTCTACGCTGACCTCGCCTGGGCCGCCGGCCCGGAAGCTTTGGAGCTCCTGGGGACAGCGAGTGAGAGAGAGGGGCACAGGGGCCCATTGTCACTTTCGTGGGCCTCTTCCTCCACAAAACATAGTTGGTATAAAGACAAACCTATCAATATAATATATTCAAACATTTTTAACCTAAAATTCGTATTTTTATTCTGATTTTGAAAGAACTTAAGACACTTTCACGGGCCCCTAAACTCACCACGGGTCCTGGGTGCCGTGCCTACCATGCCTGATGGATGAGTTGGCCCCGCTTCTTGGGGCTCCACAACCTTTACAAGAAGGGAAGGCCTGGTGGAAAGGTACCCGGGGTTTTCAACTACAGCTGCCAAACCGAGGGCTGCAGACGGTCCCTGGGCTTGCCCACTGTTTGTACCACAGTCATTGCTTTACAGTGGAAAGCTTTTTAGGAGCCTAGTGCCAGGGTCATGCATGATTACTTATATACATTGCGATATATCAGAGTTCCATGTGTGTATTACACTGGGTATAATTCATTTCTCTAACATATATAACAGTCTGTATTATTGGTAGACTTTTATTTTTGAACTTTAAAAATACTATATCTTTTTCTTGATAAGTATCTCCTTTTATTTTCTATGACTAAAAGATTAATTCTTCAATCCTTCCAGAGCGTTTTTCACTAGATAGCGCAAAGTCAGCCTTTTAACATTTTTTCCCCAGCTAATGAATAAAAATACTATATTTTAAGAAATCACTAAATCAGGACAATTAAAATTCTGATTGTCCTTACCAAATGATGAAAATGACAAAAAGTGCCTCTCACGTGTTAAACTTTAACAGAAACCACCACCACAACTTCAAAACAAATGGTCATCTTAACAGGGGGATAGTGTATCATGCATATCTCTTCTAACTCCAGGTTTATAAATTTGAAATTGTAATTTTTGAGTCTGGTAGAAAAAAGCAGCTTAGAGAACTGTGCTTTCTGGCTCACCTCTTCGTGATTCTTCTTCCGGTAGGCCAGCTCCTCATTCAGGGTCTCGATCTGCATCTCCAGGTCGGCTCTGGCCAGGGTCATCTCGTCCAGCACCTTGCGCAGACCGTTGATGTCAGCCTCCACGTTCTGGCACAGGGCCAGCTCATTTTCGTATCTGAAAACCAAGTGCAAAACAGTCCAGGGAATCAACACACCCATTTGAATAAGCCCCCTGCGATCTTCAGGGCTGTTTTGCATATAAATTTAGCAGCATTGTAATGCATGAGACTGTTTTTGCTTTTCTAACTTTTTCTTTTCCTTTTTTTAAATGACAGGTTGCTACTCAGTGGGAGAGAAGTGAAAAAATTAGGAAGTGATACTTTTCTACCAGCGATGAACCGCAGTAGCACCGCATCCCAGGCTACCTCTTCCCGTCTGGCTGACTGCCTTGGCTATGAACAGTAAGTAGCAGCCCCTCTCTAGGTGGAGTTTCTGATGGAATCCTAAAAGTGGTTGAAAATTAGATAATAATTAGTCATCTTGCTTAACCTTTATTCATGGTTTAATTTAAAAACAGTGATACTTCTTTAGTGACTCGTACTGAGGTTCAGGATCATCACCACTGCAACATCCTGTGAGGAAATTTTGCAGAGCAAAAAGGACGTTAGTATTCTCTCCTTATGTCTGACGGTGGTGTATGGGAAAGGAGGAGGCAATATAAAAATAAATGCCTGGTTAATGCTTTAGTTGTATGTGTCATCGGGAAAAAGGTCACTTCATTTAGCGCCCAGGCAAAAGCATTATTCATTCATTTGGATGCATGGAAGACTGAGGTTTAGGACTCTGGTGGAATTATCATGTTGCAACATGAGTCAATAACAAATGTCGAATATGAAAATCCGTAGCCTTGGGTTTAAGTACTTTACAACTAAGGACGTGTAATGTGAGTTGTGTTTGAATCTCGTTACTTTCTGATAGAATGCCCAATGTGAATTTACCAAAACATTAAATGTATGGAGCATGTGAACTGCAGAAGGTTGGAAATATTTGCCGTCAATGAAGGCAGGAAAATAGAGAAAAAGAAGAGATCCTGGGGCCTGTCAACCATCATCAGTCTTTCTTTTATTCTACTCACTTCATTCTGAAGTCTTCGGCAGCCAGTCTCGCATTGTCGATCTGCAAGAGCAGCTGGGCGTTTGCAGTGCTCTCAGAAATGATCTGGCCAAACAGGGGAAGACACACAAAGTGAGGTCGTACAAGACAGTGTTCTGCAAATATATCTTTGACAGGAAAATTTTAGGTGATGTTATAATGCTATTTTATTAAGGGTTTAAGGCAGTTAACTTTTAAAAGAAAATATGTATAGAGAATATTATTTAAAAATTAAGAAACATACATTTCCCCCAGAAAAGGTAGTGTAAAAAACAATCACTTTATGGCAAATGATAAAATGAAACTAAATATCTTAAGATGAGAAATTATTCCAAATACAGTTGAATGGAAAGATATCTAAGTTTTAGGTGATTTATGACTGTAAAATATTGAAATAGCAAAAAAGAAAAGTAAAAAATAATTCCCAAAGCCCCTCTAAAAAGCCATTTTGTTACCTTATTCCTGAGGTCTTCAATCAACAGTTGATATTTACTATAATCATTCGGTGGGTCTCCAGATCCTCGTATTTCGTACCATTCTCGAATTTTGTTTTCAAGGTCAGCGTTAGCCTCTTCTAGAGCTCGAACCTTATCCAGGTAGGAAGCCAATCTGTCATTAAGATTTTGCATAGTTTCCTTTTCTGATCCAGAAAGAAGGCCTCCATCGTTGCCAGAGAGAATCCCTAGAGAGCCCCCTCCTGGGCTTCCCCCAAATCCAATCCCCAGGCTCCCAAAGCCACCTCCCCTGCCTCCTCCATAACCAGCGCCCAGTCCTCCTGCAAAGGAACTTCCAGAGCCACCACCAAAGCCGGAACTAGAAGCAAACATGGAAGCAGCTGTAAAGCCTCCCCCATAGCTGCCTCCAAAGCCAAAGGCACTTCCCCCGTAGCTGCTTCCAATGCTTGAGGCAGAAATACCCCTGGCTCTGCCCAGTGTCACACTTTGGGAGGACAGCCACTGGGGCATCCCAGAGGTGTGCGCGGAGAGTGACATGGTGCTTCTCGAGAGACCCACAGCCAGGGATGGTGCAGTGTCAGCAAGACAGGAAGGCTAACCTTTTATAGGTCACCGAATGGGTGTTGCCGTTGAAAAGTTCACTCTCTCCATTCAAAATATGTCTCCCCTCCCCCCAACCTTTTTTGGCCAGCTCAACAAGAAAATGGTTTACGCACATTGACAATTCATTGGTATAGAACTAATTGAATAATTGTTCCCATTACATATTTGTGATAGAAAGAAGAAATCTGGGTGGAGTACAGATAGGTTGTCATAAGGAATTTTTCGTCTCCAAATTATTCCATTGCTTGTATTCTCAGCACTGCCCAGTGTCTTATGCACATTAGGAAAGCAAAGAGTGACTGCTGAATGGATAAAGTAATGAATATTTCTTTCTAAGTCTTCAGCTTCTTAAAGTTCACTCATATTTCCTACCTGTTTCCTTTCGAAAACTCAATATAAACCATCTGATCATGATGTAGTGTATCTTCTGGCAGAATATCGTTTCAGAAACTGTTGTGAAACGCACTAGTGGAAGGTGGGGAACAAACACATTTTCCAGATTGATACCGGAATTTAAATTTTCAAAGATTTGAAAGTCTTGTCATTAGGTTGTTGCATGGTTTCTCTTTTTCTTTTTTTTTTTCTGCGGTACGCGGGTCTCACTGTTGTGGCCTCTCCCGTTGCGGAGCGCAGGCTCCGGACGCGCAGGCTCAGCGGCCATGGCTCACGGGCCCAGCCGCTCCGGGCACGCGGGATCCTCCCGGACCGCGGCACGAACCCGTGTCCCCTGCATCGGCAGGCGGACTCCCAACCACTGCGCCACCAGGGAAGCCCGGTTTCTCTTTTTCTGATTCAGAAAGAAGACCTCTTAAACATTGAAAAATGCTATTTTTGAGTAGACTATGATAGTATTTCCAGCAGGTCTTCCTTTACATGAAGTTTGACCTTCCTAGTAAACTCCATGAAATCAGGAGCCTTGTCTGGTAGTTCATTACTCTACCGCCAACTTTGCTAGTGTATCAAAAAACAATTGATCTTTTTGTTTATGGAAATTGTATCAGTGCTCGTATCCTCAACCCCTTAACCCCCAAATATCCAGATATTATCTGCTCTGACTCCAGCCTCCCTGAAGGTGAGGTTCTTCAATTCTGTGGATAGTCCTGTGAACTGCTAGAGCCAGCTGTGCCCACTGGTGATTTGGGGGCAAATGCAGAGAGGTTGCACTTGAAGCCCATGTCAGACCTCTAGAGTATCAGTTCTGGCAAATGGGAGGATCTTGTGACCCTTTTTTTTTTTATCACTTTCCTAGGAAGAGGAATGATGAACTCAGAGTGAAATCCAACTACAACTTCCTTTTACCTTTTCATAGAAGGGAGATAGGCCAAGGGACATATTTTCTCCTAACTTATACACTTCACAAAGAGCAAGCAAGTGGGATGTCTAAATAAAGGGGTTTTTAAGCAAGAAATTTGCAGAATTTACATATTCTCATTCACAATAGATATAGAGAGGAAGCAGCCATCCAATGCAGGCTCAGCTTGAAGAGAGGGGCCATGATCCATCCATTTGTTCCATTCCTTGAGAGAATGGAAACTTGTTAAGTGGAAATGCCAGGGGCCCCAGCATTATACAGATTCCTTTAAACTATCACCGGCGTTACAAGCGTTTTTTTCTGATCTTGTCCTTGTTTGAATCATTAGTAGTTATTGTGTACTTAATATGTTCTAGACATTGGGCAGTTGAACTACAGACATTATTTTTAACCTTTGTGGCAACTTCTTAAAGTGAATATTTTTATCCTGTTTTACAGAAGAGCAATCGGAGGGTGAGGATGTTAAGTGACTTATTCAAGGCTACACAGCCAGGAGATGGCCAAGATAGGATCTGGGTCTGCAGTGCCTTCTATACACAACACAACCCTGCTGCTTACAGTGAAAACAAAAAGGACAGAGGGTCGCTCTGACCCCCAAATCATGAGACTGGGTTTCTGCCCTGCACATCAACCAGGAGTTTTAGCTCTTTCCTTTCCAAAAAAGCTTTCTCTTTGAATTTCATTTCTCAGTGTACAGCCTGAGACCCGGTGATCTACTCTTCATGGTTTATCAGAAATGGCATCACAAATGAAATCTTGGGAACCTATAGGCAAATGTGTTTTTAGTTATACTTTTTGACATGTAACCGCATCTCCAGAGATCTTATGAAGTACTAGTTAAACTTGCACTTCCCACCCAGCAACTTGACATTATGGGTGTAAATTATTAGTCACTCACAAGTAGCAACCCCCTGAGACAGGATGAGTCCATTTTATTGCCCTAGAAATGAAAACAGACTATTACTTGCTTACAGAGTCAGAAGGAATGTGCCAAATTCAGAATTGTAACTTCATGATATCACATAATACGGGAATATGATTAACTTGAATTTTTGAACTTGGAATCAATTTAGTGCTGAAATGTATACTTTCCAACTCTAATGCTTCTATGTAAATTTTAAATAATCTTGTTCAATATCTATACATTATGTTTACACATTATACCTTCGTGTTTCTATACATATATATTATCCTAGACTGTAAGCTTCTCAGGCAAGGGCTATGTCTACTTCATTTTTTATCCTGAGTCTTAGCCTAGTATTTGGCTAAACTTCATTTTTGCACGCTTAGAGTTATTTCACTTGAAAGGACTTAATCCTTAATGTATTTGAATGTGTCATTTAAAATTCATTTCATTTGAAAATGACTTTGCTCTAATTTACTGGTATGCTTTGACCAAGATTTATTCTGAATCCAATTATGAATGGGGAGCAACTTCAGAAGCTGAAAAGAGAAATATTCCTTCTTCAGTGGCTTCTTTTTGTGGGGGGAGGGAAGGCTAAGCTAAATAATTAAGCCTCTATTTTAGAGTTTTTAGAAGTGAAAGTAAATTCCTTTGACAGCTGTAAAAATACAGGAAGGTGGGAATGTATAAAATGGGCTTGTTGGCAAAATGATTACATAAGTTGAGGCACAGAGGAATACGACTACAACTTGGGTGACTGTTCAAAAGAATTACATCTTCCATTTCTGTAGGGTTTAGAGAATATTCAAAATGAGGATTATTATTTATATGGCATTTGTAAATCTCTAGATTTTTATTAAGTAAAACATGTGCTCATCTTCTCATGTCAGATTGGTTAGTTTCCTAGTCTTCGTTTGCAGGATTTTCCTCCTGAGTTCTGTCTCTTAAAGACAGACCTTTCACTGGAATTCCCTGGCGGTCCAGTGATTAGGACTAGGTGCTTTCACTGCTGGGACCGGGTTCGATCCCTGGCTGGGGAACTAAGATCCTGCAAGCTGCCAGGTGCGGCAAAAAAACCTTCCACTCTGTGCAATTTACTAATTGCTTGGTAGATGATATCTTTCTTTTTTGCTTTGAATAACATTTTAAGATCCTGTGACTGAATGAAAGAATATTGAGTTACTGACTTTTATGCTGTGCTTTTTTTTTTTTGGTGTACGCGGGCATCTCACTGTTGTGGCCTCTCCCGTTGCGGATCACAGGCTCCGGACACGCAGGCTCAGCGGCCATGGCTCATGGGCCTAGCCGCTCCGCGGCACGTGGGATCTTCCCGGAACGGGGCACGAACCCGTGTTCTCTGCGTCAGCAGGTGGACTCTCAACCACTGCGCCACCAGGGAAGCCCTGAAGTGGGTCTCTTTTAGACTGCATATATATGGGTCTTGTTTTTGTATCCATTCAGTGTGCCTGTGTCTTTTGGTTGGAGCATTTAATCCATTCCCATTTAAGGTAATTATTGATACGTATGTTCCTATTACCATTTTCCTAATTGTTATGGGGGTTTTTTTGTACGTCCTTTTCTTCTCTTGTGTTTCCCGCTTAGAGAAGTTCCTTTAGCATTTGTTGTAGAGCTGGTTTTGTTGGTGTTGAATTCTCTTAGCTTTTGCTTGTCTACAAAGCTTTTGATTTCTCCGTCGAAACTGAATGAGATCCTTCCCGGGTAGAGTAACCTTGGCTGTAGGTTCTTCCCTTTCATCTCTTTAAGTATACTGTGCCACCCCCTTCTGGCTCATAGAGTTTCTGCTGAGAAATCAGCTGTTAACCTTATGGGAGTTCCCTTGTATATTATTTGTCATTTTCCCCTCATTGCTTTCAATAATTTTTGTCTATAATTTTTGCCAATTTGATTACTTTGTGCCTCGGCGTGTTTCTCCTTGGGTTTATCCTGTATGGGACTCTCTGTGCTTCCTGGACTTTCCCATGATAGGGGTGTTTTCGACTATAATCTCTTCAAATATTTTCTCAGGTCCTTTCTCTCTCTCTTCTCCTTCTGGGACCCCTATAAATGCAAATGTTGTTGTGTTTCATGTTGTCCCAGAGGTCTCTTAGGCTGTCTTCATTTCTTTTCATTCTTTTTTCTTTATTCTGTTCCACAGCAGTGAATTCCACCATTCTGTCTTCCAGGTCACTTATCCGTTCTTCTGCCTCAGTTATTCTGCTATTGATTCCTTCTAGTGTATTTTTCATTTCAGTTATTGTATTGTTCATGTCTGTTTGTTTGTTATTTAATTCTTCTAGGTCTTCGTTAAACATTTCTTGCATCTTCTCTATCTTTGCCTCCATTCTTTTTCCAAGGTCCTGGATCATCTTCACTATCATTATTCTGAATTCTTTTTCTGGAAGGTTACCTATCTCCACTTTAGTTGTTTTTTGGGGGTTTTATCTTGTTCCTTCATCTGGTACATAGCCCTCTGCCTTTTCATCTTGTCTATCTTTCTGTCAATGTGGTTTTTGTTCCACAGGCTGCAGGATTGTAGTTCTTCTTGCTTCTGCTGTCTGCCCTCTGGTGGATGAGGCTATCTAAGAGGCTTGTGCAAGTTTCCTGATGGGAGGGACTGGTGGTGGGTAGAGCTGACTGTTGCTTTGGTGGGCAGAGCTGAGTAAAACTTTAATCCACTTGTCTGCTGATGGTTGGGGCTGGGTTCCCTCCCTGTTGGTTGTTTGACCTGAGGCGACTCAACACTGGAGCCTACCCGGGCTCTTTGGTGGGGAT